ACCCAGGATACAAGAAAAGCTTCACCCGCCGGCCTCTTCATATCGACTGGGACTCTACCAGTCAGCAATTCAAGCAAAACAACTCCATAGCTGTATACATCTGATTTTGTGGTAAGATGCCCAGTTAAAGCATACCTGTAGGAGTGAAGATTTGCAAGAAAGTTAACCCAAAATCACAGTCAACGTATTTTAAAAGTTGAAAAATGTTGTGATTTGCAAAACATAAAGAAGTTAAGATATGTTTTGATCTTACTCAGGCGCAACATATCCTTGGGTGCCCAGAACTCGAGTCGAGACATGTCCTCCGGCTTTATCAGAACCACGTTTCGCCAGTCCGAAATCAGAAACTTTAGCGTGAAAATTTCTGTCGAGAAGGATATTGCTACTTTTGAAATCTCTATGAATTACCGGGGGACTAATGTGTTCGTGAAGGTACTCCAAACCCTTTGCTGCTTCTAAAGCTATTCTCAATCGAGTTTCCCAGTTTAAGTTGGAAGAAACAGTTCCTGAATGTCAAAGCCAGAACATAAACATCGGTTGCCACAAGACGAGTTCACAAACAAAATATATCAAATTTTCATTTTAACATGTTGCCTTTGTCATAAGGAGCAACTCTGTGTACGAAATTCAACTAATTCATGCTACATTTGCTCGTATAACTGATATTAGACAAGTGGTGCTTATCAATCCCACAACTTAATTGACTCAAGAATATCATTAATTCTCATATACTGATAAATATCAATGTGCTGCACGGTGACAAAATCCTGGCCATTTTTTGCAAAAACTTAATTTCCTCTTGGGATATGATTTCGCAAAAGTGATATCATAGACAGAATCTCGTCAAAACCTACAAAAGATGAGAATCGTCTTATTTATTATGAAATATTCCCTGAGACAAACAAGACAGAGACAGAAACTTCGATTGAAAAATAAAGACTACATAAACTGCACTTGAGAACACAAACAGTTAACTAAATCAGTGCAAATGCAAATCATAATTGTGGTGAAGCAAACAAATGAAATATTCCCTGAGACAAACAAGACAGAGACAGAAACTTCGATTGAAAAGAAAAGACTACAGAAACTGCACTTGAGAACACAACAGTTAACTAAATCAGTGCAAATGCAAATCATAATTGTGGTGAAGCAAACAAACTACAGGCAAGAAACTGATAAAAGTTAATTTACCCCTGGCTGGATACAAATGTTCCTGCAGTCCTCCATTGACCATAAACTCATAGACCAGCAATTTGCGCTTGTTTTCCGAACAATATCCAATCAATGGTAGCAAATACGGTGAACGTAGCCGGCCCAACAATTCTACCTAATTCATAAAGCAAATTAGAACAAAGCAAGTGATCCACATAAAAATAAAAAAATAAAAAGGTGTTGAATCTCAAGTTACAGCAGATAATTTTATTAAGAAGGAAGAAATTTAACATGAAGATCTGAACCTCTGCTGTGAATTCGTCTTCTCCCTGTTGTCCAGCTTCATCCATCAACTTAACAGCAACTTTTCTTCCATTTTGCAGCACTCCTCTGCATACCAATCCAAATGCGCCATGGCCAATCACATTAGACTTCCCAAATCCACCAGTGGCAGAATGGAGCTGCTTGAAAGTAAAGACTTGGAGTCGATTGTCTGTCGTGACTTGGATATTGGAAGCATTGCCGGTTTTAACATCATGGGGAATCCCTTGTAAATCTAATAGGACACTCATAGATGCAAAAAATAAAATTGGAAAATCGGCCAGTAAATTTTCAGACAATAAATAAATTATATGACTGCTCACACTTGAACCTGATGGCATTAGCAAACCCACTTCAACATGGGCACAAAAGTAACCTTTCTTCCTTTGGAATAATTAAGTTAAGGTAGCGGCAATTCATAAAGGAGGGGATATAATTTTCTTTTTTTTTCCCTTTAGTTCATTTCAAAAACCCACATTTTCAAGTCGTCAGATAGCAACACTTAATAATGACAGAACAAGGACCACAATTAGCTCTATGTGGTAGAGTAAACATCTACAAGACTAGAATGCTACTCTAACAAGCTCTCAACTGGTAATTTGCTTGCGCAATGAGTAATGAGTTCAAAGTTACCAACTTTTTTTCTTTGTCTTGAGCCGCTTGGAGAGTTTGAATCTCAAGTAGCAGTAGTAACTGAAGGTCACTACAACTGAAACAAGGGCGAGTGATGCGAAAACCAAGATTACAGCCACTGCAATGCGCTCCTTCTTCTTGTACTCGTCGTTTTCTGCTCCCATTGACAGAAAATGACTGAAATATGACAAAGTTTTAGGCAAGAACATGGAGAACTGTTGAGAGCGAGTGGTGAGTAAAAAAGTTTTTAACCTTGAAAGTACGAGAGGCTCTGGGTCCCACAGTAGGTGGATTATGGGTTGGTTGGATATATATCAATTTGATTTTTGATTTTTTTTTTTTTGGCCAAAACGATAGGGGCAATATATATAACCAACAAGATAGAGTTCAAATACATTACATCACACTAACTAAAATAAAACTGAGATATGTCACACAAAGCACCTAGAACCTCAACAAATCAACCAAACTAAGAAAGAAAACCAGAAGAAGAAATGCATCTCTCCACTGCCATAAGGCCTAGCTAGAATACATCACTTCACAACCCTAACCTATCAAACCACACAGCAAAAAGAATCAATCCTATCAAGGGTGAAGAACATCACTATGCTCTGCAGCTAAAGAAGCTTCTGTCCAATCCCTTTGAGCAGCAGATATCACAATGTGTTTTGGCATTAGTGATCCTTTAAAAATCCAATGATTTCTTGATTTCCACAGCCACCAAAGCAAGTAGGTGGAAAGTTGAATTCTAGCTTGGACAACATCAGTTTGTTTAATGTGACTAACCTGTTGCCACCCATACTTGAAGGAGTGAGTGCTGTGTTGTAAGCCGTCCCAAATTAGCAGGTGCAGCTTCCCAGATCCTACTTGCTCTTGGACATGAAAATAAAATGTGTTCTGTAGTTTCTTGTTGATCACCACAAATGGAGCAGATGACACAAATATCAAGTCCTTTCTTCCTCAAGTTGACAGCAGAAGGCAAAGTTCCTGTGATACATTTCCAGATGAAGTGCCTCACTTTGCTTTGCACCTTCATCTGCCAGCATCTCTGATATATCTGCTGAGGAGGATAAGGGCTGTGAAATTAATAAATAGTTATGTTAATATAAATTAATCAAATTAATATATATTGTATACTAAAATATATTACTAAATTCCTTATATTATATTATAATATATATATATATATTAAAAAATTATAAATATAATTTTATGATCAATTAGTATAATTTATAATATTATTTAATTATTTTATGATCAATTTATAATTTTATACTAATGAATTAAAAAACTTTGTTTACTAATTAATAGGAGCGGGATGAGCATGTTGCCGAGTTTGAGGGTTCTGGACCCCGACACACGTATAGCCGCTGTGTGGATGCTGCCGCTCGGCGTGAGATGGAGGAGAGGCGCCGTGAGGCTCTCTTGGTACAGCTTGGGCAGACTGGCGGTTTGAGACCTCCCGTTCGTCCGATACAGATTGGTCAGCCATCTGGGCCACTCATTCCTGCCACTTTGGGACGTCCCCCTCTCATACAGAGTGGTCAGCAGTCCGGCTCAGTCATGGCTGGCAGGTCGGGAGGTCTTGTTCGTCCGATACAGAGTGGTCAGCAGTGCGAGCCACTCCCGACGACCAGTCCGGGCCCTCTGATAAAGAGTGGTCCGCAGTTCGGGAGGTCTTGTTCGTCCGATACAGAGTGGTCAGCAGTGCGAGCCACTCCCGACGACCAGTCCGGGCCCTCTGATAAAGAGTGGTCCGCAGTCCGGGCCACTCATACCTGCCAGTCCGGGCAATCTGATACAGAGTGGTCAGCATTCCGTCTCTCATGCCTGGCAGTTCGGGACGTCTCCCTCGGATACGTATCACTCGGTCGCAGGGTTATTCTTCTGAGTCGGCAGTCAGAATTCCGGCGAATGATGATGATGCTGCTGATGATGGTGATGGTGATGACGAGACATATGACTCCGACTCTGCGGCAGCTGAGCAGGACATTGTATCTCCTGACCCACAGGCACAGCCAGAGCAACCACAGGGTCCTGCACCTGCAGCCGGTGCAGGTAAAAGACTCGGTCGAATTAATCCTCCACAACAGGATGGGGGTCGTTTTGCAGGCGTTGGATCTCCTTCAGGTAAATGATTTACGTATTTATTGTTGTTTATATGTTTTTTTTATTAAATAATTCATACGGTCAGTCACAATATGTCGTATATATATTGATTGTTCTATTCTAATATAGGTGCGAGTAGCAAACGGCCGAAGAATGACCCCTGGATCGTTACAGCCCCAGTGCCCGGTGGCCCTATTGACGGGAGTGTTATCCCTAGTTTTTTAGGGCACGTAGCCTCTCGTATGTGGACTGGAGAGCTCAGAGGCATGCTGAAATGCCAAAACAGGCAGGGAGCTCACGGTGAATTGAGGGGCTGGCTCGGAACGATGGTCCAGGATGCGCGTGATATGATCGTTCAGACCGGGCTGTCACATTTGGCGTCCAGCATGCATACTCACGTCGACACTCCACTTATTTCTGCATTTGTGGAGCGCTGGCAGTCGGATACCAACTCGTTTCACCTGCCTTTTGGTGAAATGAGTATCTTGCTGCACGACGTGAGGGCCATTCTATGGATGCAGCGGTTGTGAGTGGGGACCCCGACGGCCTGACCTGCCAGGCGAACAGCATGGAGATTCTGGGGGTGGACCAGAGTGATCTGATGACGCGTCTTTGAGACAAGGGGTCGGTGACAAATCAAGCCATTTTTGATGCATTGATAAAGAATGGCACAGCTCGGTCGGCTGAGCATGTGGCTATTGGCTGGTTGTGGGTGCTGCTCGGTACCACCTTGTTTGTGGACAAGAGTGGTAACAGGGTCAGTCCCAAACTCCTGCACGAGATGATAGAGAAGGTGCGGGAAGTTGGGACTTACTCCTAGGGCTCGGCTGCGCTGGCATACCTGTACAGATAGTTGGGTATTGCCAGCAGGGGGGACTCACAGGGAGTGTCTGGCTGCTTGACTCTCATGCAGTCTTGGATATACGAGTACTTCCCTACCTTCCGACCCCAGCGAGCGCGTATGATCCTCGAGCCTGGTTGTGTCGCCCGATCAGCCTCGTGGAATGTGGCGGTGACGGAGAGGTCAGATGCGCGTCTCAAAGCTTTCCGTCGGCAGCTTGACATTCTCACCGCCGCCGAGGTGCGTTAAGTTATTTTATTTACATTTACTTGAAAGTTATGTGGAATAATTGAATTGTTTCAATAAATGTTTTTATGCAATTGTGAACAGGTGAACTGGCTGCCCTACGACCGCCGGCCACAGGACATCGAGCCTAGGACCCTTTATAACGGATGCCTTAGGTACCGGGATATTGTGGAGCCGTACATGCCTCTGCGCTGGTTGCGTCAGTTGGGCTATGTGCAGACTGTCCCTCCCCGCATAGATCGTCCGCTAAAGGCAGTCCGTGCCTGGAACTCTAGGTTGTACAGGGTTGAGCATGCGGATACTACTGCAGTGGATCACTGGGACCAGTTCCCGCAGCTGCATTCTATAAACTTGACTCCTCAAACTCCAGTTCCTCTACGAATATGCCGCCAATACTCGATCCTTGTCTGATACTGATCATCCCATCCTGCAACCGTCACATCTCGGAATGTCCGCCAAAAGTTACACATAGGCAGTAATGGATAATCAGATGACAGATTCAGACGAATGAAGTGTTTGTAAAAACCAAGATGACCTATGGCGATCTCGCGGTCAGGTCTTGTAGCAGTGGATGGTGCGCGCAACGGCAAAAATGTCATGCTATTAAAATCGATATTGTCATTTTTGTCACCACTACCTAACAACACCACAAGTACATTATATAGTGTAGCAATAGCAAAGAAGTCACCTACACCTTCCATCCAATGCTCCTCGGTACAAGGACCCCCGTCCCATCTTATCCGATCGAGTGCTCTGTCGGTTTCATAGTAAAAACACAGGATCGTACAACTGTCTGTTGGCTGCAATCTCATTTGCAATGTTCCTTCTTACCACTGTCCAACTCAACTGGTTCCTGTACATGTAACTCGCAACCACCCGAAATCCGCAGTTCCCATCCGGCGTCACATCCAGATAGCTCTCTACGTAAGGGTGGATTACGTAGGGAATTCTCCAATAATGCGGATATTCGTAGAAAACCGTCGAGAAAATATCTGTAATATCATAATAATTTCACGTCACAAATTAGATAATCGAACTTACAAACATAATTAGTTATCGTTCAACATAAACAAATAAATAAGAAAAAAAAAAATCACCTGTCGGCTCATCTGAACGTTGAGAAGACGAGCTTGTCGGTGCACACGAAGAAGTGCTGTTACGCCCCACCGGACGACCTCTTTCCCTGTAATCCCATACCGATGGAGCACACGAAGAAGAACTTTTACGCCCCACCCGGCGACCTGTTTCGGTGTACTCCGATTGCGATGGAGCACACGAGGAAGTGCTTTTACGGTGTCTTTGACTGTACTCCCATTTCGATAGATCGCGCTTTGTTGAATTGGGCTTCTTGGACCGACCTCTTGGATTATCCTTCACTTCAGGTTCTTTGTAACCTTGTTGGTCGGGATGAAGTTGAGAGTCGATGAATTGATTCACGTACCGCAGCGTCGCAGGATCGGCCGCTTCGAGCTCTGCGGCAAGCCGATAAAAATAGTCACGATCAGTCCATCCGCTCGCCGATGCACTCTGTTGACCTGTCCGCAAAAATAATTTATAAAATTAAACAACACACTCTATATTCTGTACATAGTGTTAGGATAAGTTCTATAAATTAATCAATCTCGTAATTGTACCTGGGTCTGTCAGCTCTTGTGTGCACCAGAACCTGTGGATGAATTGGGTAGTAATTTCCATATCTATAGTGAGTGCCTTCCTTAGCTCACAGGCACAAGGAAGTCCATGAGTGTACCAGAGTACACATCCGCAACGATCAACAACTTCTTCGCTCAACTCTCGCATCCTCTTAAGCTCATAATACAATAAATCCATACAGTAATGCGAGACCCGCAATCTCAACGGCGCGAAACTGGGTTCCTTGTAACCTGTATGCATGTTAAGTCTCGAAGACTCCAGCGTGACCCTGATAATACATTACATAACATTAGAACCAAATAAATAACGTAATAATAACACAGTAAATAAGTATAACCTAAGGAATATACCTGACTTGAGT